TTTTTTTGCGCTTCAAATAAGCCCTTTTGGGACATTTTAAGGGACTCTAAAGATGTGAGCAAGCAAATACGGAAAATATAAATGAGACTGCTGCAAGATGATAATTATATTTTTCATAGTGATCTTGTATTGAATTTCAATAGGATATTGGATACTTCTCATATAGTTTGAGCCATGATTGCTACATAATTCTATTAATTTTACTTTGCAGGCCTAAACGATGATTTTGAGCATAAATGACGGTGTTGAGCGTAAATTACGTAACTTGAGATTTTCAACTTGGAATGACCTGAATTTAAAAGCTATGAAAAGCTAAGAAGCAAAGCTACAACGTTTATGTTTTGTTTTTTTACCTTATTCTAACTAGAAGATGGTGAAAATTTGGCTTGAAGTTGTGAACAGCCCGTTGCAAACTGAAGAAAAATGTATTTGAACATGCATCAGTATTTTTTTCATAACGTGAGATGTAGACCTCAAATTTGGATAATTCTTGAACGAGTAGAAATATAAGACATAGGGCTACAATTTTTATTTTGGTCATGATCTAGTTCAGCTTATAAAATGGTTAAAAATTGAGCCGAAAGTTACATTAGTGTATGGAAGACAAGCAGATTTGTTATCATGTATTTTTAATTTAATTGTGGCTTTTTACCATAATACCCTCACAACTTTAATACCAAAAAGAGAGGTCCTTAGCAAGAGGGGAGGAGACTAGGGTTTAAAAAAAAAAAAAAACACATCAAAGAGGAGGAGAAGATCAAAGGAAAGAGGCTAGCACATTCATTCGGGAGAAGTTGACACGATACTTTTCCAGAGATCAATTCTTCAAGATTTTAGTTTTAGTTTTCTCTTACTCTACTTTTATGCATCAGTTTGGAATTGTTATGATGATGAGTTCAAAACTGATGTTGATTGTTATCACTTTGATTATGGAGTAGATTGTTATTGTTAAGGGGTAGATTCTACCAAACCATGTTGACTTGATTTTCAATTTTATTAAAGCATTCAGGAATTTATTGTTCTACAAGAATCTGTGTGATTTGCTTAATGCTTTTGGATATGATGTTTCTTTAATTATTTAGGGCTCTTATTGAATGATGAACCAGGCGGTGAACTTTGATTAGAAATCTTTTGATTAGGAGAAATAAGTAATTCATACCTAATACAAATATAACTCTCACAAGCAGTCATCAACATGTGTTCAAACAAATCCATCAATCACACAGCCCCTCATCAGACTAGTCTACTACATCACAAGTCCACACCAAACAAAACACAGCAATCTGGATCAAAGAGAGAGAACAAGTGTTAAGTGTGTACCTTGAGCTTGAAGTCCAACTTGAAGTTGAAGCCTGGAAGAAGAGAACAAGAGATGAAGAAAGCTGAAAATGTGAAGACTGAGGAAGAAAAGCTGAAGAAGAAATGAAGAAGAAGAAGAAACGAACTGAGGAAGAAGAAAGAGAATTGAAGAAGAAATGATCTGTTTTAATTTTTAGTAAAAACCCACTAAAACGACGTCGTTTTGGGGATGAGATTTGTTTTTTTTTTTTTTCAATAATTCGCAAATTATACGGGAAGCTTATTTATGGAATTATACGGCGGATTTTACAAAATACATATACGTGCGTTTTATACGCGAATTATACGACTGTCCGTACAATTCGTGTATAATAAGCGTTTTTACTAACTAGGCACAAAAAGTGTTTATTAGTAAAAGAAAAAATATAAATTACAAATGTAAGTTAAATTATACCTCCAAATCCTCATTCATAACACAATCAATACAAGGAAAGATAGGAAAAGAAGTAGATTTTAAAATCATCTGAACATTACAACTGTTGAATAGAGTAGTTAACAAACAAAATTTCAAAGTATAGTAAAACTACATTACCTGCACGTTCAGTTGCCTTTCTTGATTCTTGGGAACTCCCAGCATGTAATCAAATCAATTTTATAGTACAACACTTAATAACTAATGATATATAAATTCTATAAACAAATTTTAAATGTTATAATGTAGTTGCAACACTCACTTGGTTATGCAATTTCTTCTCTTTAACTTACGTACAATCTGTTCGACCTTGATGCTTCTTTTGAATGAAAGTCGACCTTTGGTACAAAAAACCCATGGAGTTAGAATATACTACTCTCGAAAAATGAAGTACAATGAACACTATCGCAATTCGATCTACTATGGATGACATGTTTACGCATTATCATGACCGACAGCATTGTCATTCAACATTAATATGGTTCTTCATGTCACATGATTATTTCCATCACCATATATTATCATCATCATTACTTGATGCCAAAATTGCACCTCAGAGAATGAATTAGACAAATGATCAAATCGTTGTCCTTCAACAATCGTGCTTCAACTATATAATTATACTAACCTTGGTGTGGCATCTGTAAACATTTTTTTCTCAACCGTTCTAAAATGTACTTTTCAGATGTATGATAAATCTCCCTATGAATTAACATTGCAATTGTATGTCGACATAAAACCCTCTAAACTCAAACAATTGACAATTAAAACGAACCTCACAACCACGTTCATAAAAGCAACCACAAAACAAATACGACGACAAGTCTCTCCCACCTAACATCTTCCTTGACTACATTCAATATTGGAATCAAACTCCTTGAAGAAGATATCTCACAGTGGAGCTTACTACCAAGCTCTTTTTGAAACTCTTTGAATTTTGCAGTGGTGTATGCATCTTGAAATTGTTTCTCCATTGGGTAGATGCTTATGCAAGGGATCTATTATTTGAATGATTTGAAATCAGCCTAATTTATTTTTCTCTTTATCAATGCATTCTCATATGTTCACATCTGTTTTAAAGTGGTTTCGAATTTACGTACTCATCAAAAAAGCAGCATACTTTTACTATGTTGATAATAGAAAATCTGCCCAGA